ATAGTTTTGGTTCTGATGTTTGCAAGGAGATTATCATATTCTTTTTTGACGTTTGAATACATTTCATCATACAGTGTGTATCAGCCAAATGGAATAAATCGAGGAATAAATTCGATAATAAATAAATGGGAAACTTTTCGAAAAAACGCTCGAACACGGCAATTTTGTTTTTTTGCTCGAGATTTTTTCACACCAATTTTTTTATACAGGGTGTTCCGAAAACAGCTGTACCGTTATCATTTTTAGTTTTTTTAATGGTACCCCCTGTATATTATGACATTTCTGGATTCTGCGGAAAATTCTAGACATATTTCATATACAATGTCATATACCTATCTTCAACCTATCATGACAGTTGAAAATTGACTTTTTTGCATCTTTGACAGACTGTAAAAGCTAAACGGTTGATTTTACAGCGAAACCGTTTTCACATTCCTGTCCTAGATTTTTATAAGCTATCATTTGACAGCAACTTTAGTTTAACCGGAGATTAATAATTTAAGCGAAATTTCTAATCATGGATTAAATTCAAAGTTGGTGTCAAATGATAGTTTATGAAAAACTAAGACAAGAATGTATGATCGGTTTTGCTGTTAAATTAACCGTTCAGGTTCTACAGTCTGTCCAAGATGCAAAAAAGTCAATTTTCAACTGACAATATTTCCGAAACAGTTGAAGATAGGTATATGACATTGTAGATGAAATATGTCTAGAATTTTTCGCAGAATCCAGAAATGTCATAATATACAGGGGGTACTATTAAAAAAATTTAAGTTGATAACGGTACAGCTGTTTTCGGAACACCCTGTATAAAAAATTTATGTGAAAAAATCTCAAGCAAAAAAACAAAATTGACGTGTTCGAGCGTTTCTTCGAAAAGTGCCCCATTTTTTTATTATCGAATTTATTCCATTTGGCTGATACACACTGTATACACTGTTCTGACGTTTTAACATTAAACAAATATCTAGCCTATTTTTTACCCTACTTACGTTTTCGTTATTTACATAATATATTCTATTTGGTTTGTGTGTAGGGTTAACTAACTTATTAGGAAAACACTGACTGAAAAAGGCACTCGTGCACTTCGTGCACTCGTGCTCTTTTTCAACTAAAAATGCATTCGGGTAAATTTCCCAAAAATTATCAATAATTTCCATTGCACTAGTTATATTACTATTGATAATTTGATCAAGAACCGACTCTAATTTGTTTATAAAACTATTTATGTCCTTTTTTGGTTGTGTATAAAGTGGTATTATTACAAAACACATATCTTCAATTTTGCACTGTACACTAGCACACTCAAAAATATCCTCTTCCGACATATCCCTTATTTTTGTTCTCTGCATAATAGGCCAGTCAATGAGGCTTCGGAATTAACAATAATTGCAAACAATGTGAAATGTGGTAATTACGTTTTGTATGACAAAAAAATTAACTATAAAAATTTGCACCTTCTAGTGACGTGCGGAACATTGTTTTTTTGTAAAAATTAAACAATTTTTAATTACTCATTCCCAAAAATTGCTAACAAAGTGCAAATTTACAAAAACGCGACGACTGATTTTCCAAATCTTGTATTAATTTTGCACCTTTTTTCATTAGGCGGAACACAATGAAAAATTATTTATTGTTAAAAAGTATTACATACTTTTCGGAAAAAATGCTAACAAGGTGCAAATTAGGATGATGCACCAGGCCTATTCGGGTTTGGAAAAAGGACGGTTCTAGAACGGTTCAAAACAATCGTCCAGTTTATTGATCAACAAAATAACAACGACTCGGCTATCACAAATTTCAATAATAAACTGTGCGATTCTTCTGGACCGTTCTAGAACCGTACTTTTTCCAAACCCGAATAGGCCTACCGTAAATGCCAAACAAATAATTGTATAAATTTGCACTTTTCAATCTCCTCCGGAAATGAGCGATTCGCATTAATATAACATATCATATGTGAAAAAACACCATTATTTGGGGGGAAAATTGCTAACAATTAAAAAACTAGGTGCAAATGTTCGAATTGATTGCCAGAATGCTATGCAACATTTGCACCCAAAAATATTAAGTGGAAACTTTTTTTTTCTAATTTTTGTTTTTTACAATAATTATTGACATCGAGAAAATTACAAACAGGGTGCAAATCACAACAGCAATTCTTAATATTATTTCAACTCTTACCTCGACTTTGCACCCCTATATGAACACAGAATAAGTTTGAAATATTGAGAATAAGCTGTGGCGCGGGACAGGAAATATTATTTGAGTGATGTTTTGGAGATATTTCTTATTCCGTGCTTCATATAGGGGTGCAAACTCGAAGTAAGGGTTGAAATAATATTTAGAATTGCTGTTGTGATTTGCACCCTGTTTGTAATTTTCTCGATGTGAATAATTATTGTAAAAAACAAAAATTACAAAAAAAAAGTTTCCACTTAATATTTTTGGGTGCAAATGTTGCATACCATTCTGGCACTCAATTTGAACATTTGCACCTAGTTTTTGAATTGTTAGCAATTTTCTCCCCAAATAATGGTGTTTTTTCACATATGATATGTTATATTAATGCGAATCGCTCATTTCCGGAGAAGATTGAAAGGTGCAAATTTATACAATTATTTGTTTGGCATTTACGGTGCATCATCCTATTTTGCACCTTGTTAGCATTTTTTCCGAAAACCATATAATACTTTTTAACAATAAATAATGCAGTCTTTATGTAGTTCTGTCAAGTGATCAATTATATTGGTGGAGTTTTTTAGAGATTGCACATTTTGGTGTATTATACTGAATTTTGATGCTTCAATCTGTGTTTTTTCTTTGTTGCCGGTTTTCTTTATAAAAAATATCTTTCCTGGGTTTCTGCTGTACTAAAGTTAGTATATTCTCTCTGTCTATCAATTTTTTTCAAAAGGGGTGGGCATTTTAGATCTTTGGCAGTATGTATCCTTTCCTTTCCTGCAGCCCAATCCGTTTACAATTGGGACATCCAATTTTGCTGATGTGCATTGCATTCACTGGCGTCATGATTTCTTCCACATTTAAAGCAGCATAGATCGCCTTTACAGTCTTTTGATTGATTTGATACTGTTGTTGCATGGTTGTTGCAGTAAGTTAAACTACGATGCTTTAGTGGAGATATAGCTTAAGAAATACTTTTACAAAGATAGCTTCAATAGTAAATACATATTCTTCTGGTAAACTGACACTTGAATTCATCAGACATTTCATTTTTCCCAAAATCTCATGGACAATTACAGATCTGGGTGCATTAAGGGCATTGAATGCGTCTCAATGCCAAAATATTTTTCCCTGCGCGAAGCACCTAACGCAGTCTATCACTATATTCTTCCTCTCCTATTAATACTCCTTAAGTGGAAATGAGATGAATGAAACAAGGAATGCATTGCGTTCTTAATTTCAACCTAACTTTTTAACAGTTGAAGTTATATCAAATTTCTTTTTTGCATTCGATTTATAATATGAGGACGAATGGCGCTATCTTTTTAGAACTCCGATAATAGAAACAAGTTCTCGAAAAATTACGAAAATGTAATTTAAACTGGAAAAAAACGAGAAAGTTAATCAATTTATGGTGTTTTTTTTATAAGCGCCAATCTTATGTGTGTTAGCTAAACAATGACATAAATCAGAATTCCAAAAATTATCTAGTTTTTTTTGTAGAAATTTAATTAATTCTTCTTGTCATTTTGTCTGTCTCTGGTATACCCGCAGCAAACCCTATGGCTCTTTCCTCCGCCTGTTTTGCGATACATTTTTAATCGCCTTCATGAACGATCGAGCGCTAACCGGCCCAACAGTAGCCCAATGTAATGATCGCGATTTTATTAATATTAACTTGTTAGGTAGTTGTATAGTTCGACGTGCGTTACAATATATTTTAAACGGCGCATTCAATCCCCTTAAGAGATGGAGATGCCAAATTGGGTGAGACTCTATTAAATGAGGGCCTATACACCACACCAGCTTGGGACCAAACCCACTTGGTACAGGGAGGGTCAAAACCCTTCATGCGGTTGCAACTTGGCAGGAGAAGACCATCTTATCAAGAAAGGCTAACACAAGGACTAATTAGTGTTTCTGACAAAAAAACCAGAGATCTCAGTTTTACCTATCGAGCTCTAGACAACCAACCAAACCCTCTATTGAGCATATTTACACCCTCAATACCGACCAACGTTTGAGAGGCCACAACCAAAAACTTAAAAGGAAAAACTATAGCCCTGTGTGTTAGGAGAAATTTTTGCCAAACCGAGTGTTTACTCATGTGTCTTGTATTATAGTGATACAGTTTATCCAGAAGAGAAGTATGGAATGATTCATGCTATTAAAAGCTGGCATACAACAATCCAGAATATCCACCACACTCTTTGTAAATCAACAAACTGCTGTCTCAGGCACTTAGATTCTTTGCAAAGCCATACTAAGCTAAGAAGAGCAATCCATATCTTGAAAAAAAAAACTATATATTTGATTGGTTGATAAATGATTAATGGTAAAGAGTGCTTTGATTTCAAAAACGTATGTCGCATTATTGTTTCTTGATTGATTGGTCAGGATTTTTGACACAAAATTCAATGACAAATTTTTTAAAAAAAATATTTCTAAGACATACATTTAAAAAATCATAACCATCTTTGATATGATTTTTTTTTAAGACCCGGTCTCGGACCCGCTAGCTGGTTTGATGATCTAGGATATAGTAGATAAGAAGGTTGAGGTTTCCCACAATCATCCGGATTCCAATTCTTATAACTTGGTATAATACAAAAGACATCCCAGTTGTTGACAAAACTATTTCGACGTCCCTCAATCTCAGATGCAGCACTTCTAAAATTCTGTCCTTTTGCTGCCGATTGCTTTATTATGTTTTACCACTAAACTACCAAAGCCGAATTAATTAATTTATATTTATACGTGATAAAAGACTTTCAACAAAGGTCTCACTGATCTCACATTTTTTTTTATTTTTTTAGTAAATTTGGCTACAGGCTTAAAACTCTTCCATCCAGAAAAACGAGTTGGTCTTTTGGATACAGACATCTTTGGTCCCACGGTACCGCTTATGATGAATCTTCGTGACACACCATTTCTCAGTGATAAGAATCTCATGGAACCTCTAGTTAATTATGGCGTCAAATGGTAATTATCCTTCAAAAATTTAGCTGCGTTAAAGCTTGCTTTATAAAAGGTCATTGCATTAAAGTGTGATCACTTTTTTAGTATGTCATTTGGCTTCCTCATTGAAGAAGGTGCTCCAGTTATCTGGCGTGGACTTATGGTTATGCAAGCTTTAGAAAAACTAATGAGGCAAGTGGATTGGGGCACTATTGACTACTTAATTGTTGATACTCCTCCAGGTACAGGAGACACTCATTTGAGTCTAGTACAAAACTTACCTATAGATGGTAATTAATAATTGTTATTATTTAATTTTGTTGAATTAATTGAAATATTTCTAGGGATTGTTCTGGTAACTACACCCCAAACGGCAGCTCTACAGGTCACAAAAAGAGGCGCAATAATGTACAACACGCTGAAAATTCCTATAATCGGTCTTTTTGAAAATATGAGCGCTGTAACTTGTCCCTCCTGTTCTAGTGACATTCACATTTTTGGAGATGGTACTCAAAAGTTAGCCAAAGAATTGAAAATTGATATTTTAGGAACTGTCCCGTTGAACGGCAGTATATCCGATTCGGGTGATAAGGGTGTTCCAGTGGTTTTGGATAAAAATAATCAGCAGTCTGCATTGTATGAGACTTTGGCGGGAAAAGTTGTGAACTTTTTGGAAAATAAGAGTGTTTAATTTTCATCATTCGAAATTTGTTTCGTAGTTTGTACATACATTTTATCTTATTTTTTACCTAGTTTTTTTTCTTCTGCTGTATACTGCTGCATATTCCAAATCTAGTAACAAGAACAAGTAACAGAGAAAGAATCATAAGAAATTTGAATTTTTTTAGAAACAGATATTTTCCTATCAAGTGCGCAAAGAGACTAGAAAAAAAAACTCTTTCAGCAAAATCAAAACGAAACCGATTAGTTTCGGCTAATCTAGATAATATGTTTATTTTAATTTCAACGGAAAACAGAAATAGTTAATTGAGTTTCACGCTGACCGGACAGTGACGATAACTGCTACAAGCGATTTGACAAATTCATATGAGTAAATAAATAAGTGTGCATGCAAATGAGTAGGTTCTTGAAATACCTACTTTACGCACGCCCATAGAAAATAAGCTATTTTCCTCAGCACAGTTCGGCCAATTATATATTGTTTAAAATATTTTTTTTTTATTGCTATAATTTATTGTAAATGAACATTCATTATTCATTTACATCACAGCACATCGGATATTCCGCGCGCTCGTAGCAAGTAGTATATTTTCGTGAAGATGAAAACAGCAGTTTTTAAAATATGGAGGTAATGTTTTCAAGTTGCAGAAAATTATTTTTGACGAAAATTGTTTATTTCTCAATGGTCAGAAAAAACGTTCTTTTCCTACGAGCGTGCGGAAAAGTTACTTTTCCGCAAGATTTTTCGTTTTGAAAGTTGTACTTTTCCGCACGATTTTACTTTTCCGCACTATTTTTTTACTTTTCCGCACGATTTTTACTTTTACTGAAAAGTGTACCCATATTAAAGTTCGGGGGCCCCCTATTTGGGGGAGCAGTCCCCCGTGGGCCCCATTTTTGAGGGGCACAGTCCCGCAGTGGCCCCTTTTTAGGGGCGGAGCCCTGGGGTCCCTTTTGGGGGGGGCGGAGCCCTGGGTGGCCTTTTTGGGGGGCGGATCCCTGGGCACCTTTTGGACGGCGAAGCCCCTTATTTGGGGGGCGGAGCCCCGCGGGAGCCCCTCATTTGGGGGCACAGCCCCGCAGGGCCCCCTATTTTAGGTGGCATAGCCCCGCGAGGGTGGGGGATCCCAACAATTTTTTTGGCCAATTTAGATATAGGCCAAGGATCATGATAAAAAAATCCGGTTCCATTATTTTTTTGTGTATAAAAAAATCGTGTGGAAGTCACTTTTCCGCACTAGTGCTGAAAAGTTACTTTTCCGCATTTTTTTTTTATTTCTAAAAATGAAGGTATTTAGGATCAAATAAATGATTTGTTATATACTATTTTATATTATGTGCTCTTTTGTACCATCATTATAAAATCTTTGCTTATTGGAAACATTTTTTTTGATAAATAGTAAATAGGATGGACAAAAACACTCGTAGGAAAAATATTGTACCTAACTCTTGCGGAAAATGTCTTTTCCAACCGGCCCTTAAAGTTAATTCTCACTTGCGCGAAATTCACTCTTTTTTGACATTGCTTCGAAAATTAAATATTTGATACACGCATAAAGCCTGGTACTCATAACTGCAAAATTCGCATTTTTTTGACATTGCTTCGACAATTTGACGTTTGATACACGCATAAAACGTCAAATTGTCAACGCAATGTCAAAAAAATGCGAACTTCGCAGTTATGAGTACTAGGCTTCAAACGTCAACTTGTCGAAGCATGTCAAAAAGGGAACAAATTTCGCGCATAAAGAACGAATTTTGCGCAAAAAGAGCGAATTTCGCGCAAGTGAGAATGAGGCAAGCCTAGCACTCATAATCGCGAAATTCGCTCTTTATTGACATTGCGTTGACAATTTGACGTTTTATGCGTGTACCATAGAGAAATATAATAAACCAAGGTAAGAGTACCTGATTGATAACATGAAAGTTTGTATAGCGCTGACGTCACAGCGACGGTGGCGTCAATAGGGGCAGCCGGAACAAATACTGAAATGGCGGGAATTTTGAAATTTGACTTGAGTTGATTGCACAAAAAACTTACTTATGTTGTTCCACATCTTTTTTTCTCAAATCCGAATGAGAAAAATGATGTGATACTCCATAAAGTTTTGTGCCATTTTTTGATGTAGATTGAAAAAAAAGGCAAAATAAACACTAAATTGTACTGGAAAAAATATATATTATAGCTAGATAGGTCAAATACCTAAAGAGTTTACAAACACAGTTATTACATCCCTTATACATGCTTTAATGTATGTACATGCTAAGCTGGCCAAGGCCTAACATCTACATTTTATCTCTTCTGACTGAGGTCTCCTAAAACAGTAAAAAAATATGCCGTATATCACAAAACTAATATGTATACTTACTGGTTCAGTTTATCCTAGTTGTACATAATATTATAGGTACGCGATACCGAGTGCCTTAATAAAAATAACAATTTCTTCTTCTTGTTCTTTAGATTTTGTGAGTTCGAGTCTTCTTAGACGACCGCTCAATCGGTTAAAAATGACAAATTTCAACACGGAAATGTCGTTATTTTAAGGTTACTTATTTGTTTTCTCAGTCACAGTTTCTATAGTTATGGATGTTTGATAGGTTTCTAGAAAACAGCTAGGAAAGCTCTGTAACTCATACGGCGTCCTTGTCTTGTGAATTGGTATGACAGAGAAAGATGAAACAGAATCGAATGATCGCGGACTGATCTTTCGTAAGTCTCTAGCTTTCCAAAAATTCCGCAATGCGCTATGCGCAACCGGATGCGCAGTAATAGTATAACCTATTTCGGCTATACTTTTGAAGGTCTTTTTATTTTTCATTGTCTATGGCGTGTACCAAACGTCAAATTGTCGAAGCAAATGTCAAGAATCCAAACTCAAAGAAATAGGAATTCTGAGAAAAAAATAAAAAATAAAACAACAATAACCATAACCTAAATTTTTGATTTTGGTAACAGAAACAGAACTAAGCTGCTTTCTTTTTAGGGGCTGGGGCACCCCAGGGCGCCCTGGATCACGATTTTGAAATGTGTCAACTGTTCTTTTTATTCGGGGCGTCAGGCCCCGGGGTCGTCTATCATCCTTGGTCTATCCCCACCGCTAGCGCCTCAGCGTCGAAGCTCTACAGCTCCAGTGTTCGAACTGTCACTAGTGTCGGTCGGATAATTAGACACTTTAAGCAGGTCTGAATTTCAAACGTATCCGCATCGATCTCTGCATGTGTAGAATAGATACGATGGTTTCGTAAAAAATTCAAACACAGCTACAAAATCAGCACAGCACAACACTTTTTGAGGTTAGAATACGTTTCATCAAAGGATACGATCGGTTACGTAATGTATGACTATGCTTAAAAGGACTTTTGGGCGACAACGTAAGTCAATGCGTTTACGGATGCGCATACGGATACGTAGAAAAATGTAGGGCTTGCTTTGGAATTGCACCAGTGCAAGTTATGAATTGGCCGGAACGAGTGTGAGTGCCGCACCAGTGCGACACTGTTTTTGTCAATGAAATTCAATATTAATTTCTTCTGTGGGAACAGACCGAAAATTACCTTTTTCTACTTTTAAAATCGACGAAAACAACTTACTAGCACAGCATGAATCGCAAATTCCATCAAGGTCTGCGGGTGACGTCATCGCTATAAGCTGCTGATAGTGACGCAAGGATAATACACATAACTACTACAAGATAGCCTATCCTCATAAGGCCTGTGTGTAACGAATCTAAAGCCCCCCACCACGCCAAATCACCAGTCGTGACGTAGGCAGCATGTTCTCTTTTATCCCCTTGACGTAGGCTGTTTGCACTACAGATACTACGACCTTTAGTGCAAACAGCTGACGACTTATTAATGACGTCGGAAATGGTGACACACCAAAATCTATGGACACATCACATAACCTAGCATAATCAGATTAAGCTTGATTATCCTCGAGAAAAATTGCCTGTAATACAAGGGTTTTTTTCTAAACTCACGATCTTCAAGGAAGATTCGATAAACGACTTATAAATTCGGCCCCAGAACGACTCCCAGGATCTTGGTTTTGCGGTCCGAAAGTAATCAAATTACTCTGAGTCTGAGTCGCTTTCCAGTGAAGCACTTTAAACACTCCTGAGCTTCTCTAGAGCGCCCCGGGCGGTTTATAGGCGTTTTCCTCACCCCTGCCCTCTCAAGCACTTGCAATTTTATGGATGCCTTTATTTAAAAACACGCGGAAAAGCCTTAAAATAGGGTGCGTTCAAGTGAAACAACTTGTTTGAAGCACCAGAGTGTGAAGCTAAAAAGAATCTTGGGTTCCTGGAAAAGGGGTTATTTTTGGACCTCGGTTTCCTGAAATGTTAACCAAATGTCAAAATAGTTACCGGCCATGTCGGTTTGATCGGTTTTATTTGATGTTGCTGCCAATTATTATTTATTTCACAGCAGGATAAATATTTGCCAATAACGTTATCAGTCGGTCTATAGGCCCTTACTAACGTTTGTATCTGGTGAGCGCACATTTTCCGCATTACTGCTCCAGAGCGCTTCCCGTCTCAGCTGTGACGTCACAGATCTCTGCGGAAGTGCTCCGGTTGCGATTATAATCCTATAAAGGCCGTTTTATAGCTTGCAAGAAAACTTGAATGCAACTTTTTGCATGCAAAAAAATTGCATTCAAGATTTCTTGCACGTCGTTTTACACCTTGCAATTTGACTTATTTCCTTCTCCAGCATTAACCATAATTTTTTGTTTTCAAGATGAAAAAAGTGATTATAAGTCGATTTAAAAAGAAGAAGGCAATAGCAGCCACTTTAAGCATCATAATAGACCTATCTCCTATTACCTGGACTGCGCGCGTCGCTTGTAGGCTGCAGGTGAGCGTTCAATGAGAAGCAAGTTTGTGACAGGCTTGCGTCATATTCTTATTACAGTGACTCTATAACCCACAGTGGCGACAATTGCTGTCTTATTTTTGATTGGTTCAAAAATCCCATATATTTATATTGAAAACGCCGCCATCTTGTTCCCAACCCCTTGTTACTTTTAAATATGAATATATGGGATTTAGGTGAACATCCATCAAAATCAT